CCCCCCCCCCCCCCTGAAATTTTCTCAACGGATTTGCAATGATATAAAAAAATGACATTTTTGAAGGAAAAAAGTCGGAATTCCGCCAAAAGACGGAAAAATCTCATGCCTGCAATAATAAAATATTACTTGGGGTATCACAAGTCCACCATGTGGAAGAAACAAAAACACCTGTATTTCTCTGGAGACATCATATCTAGTCTGTGCCACCTGTCACTGCTGAAGACAAAGTTTATGACACAAGACACTGGTGGTTCCCTGGAGTCACTAGAGCTTTTCCATGTCATCTGTCTCAGGGCACAAGTCATAGGAAGAAACGAGACTGTGAAAGGCACTTAATGAGAGGAATTTTATTTAAAAGTTAGTTCTTCCCCTTTTCAATAAATTTTCACTAAATCTCTTCTTCTTTTTCTGATCCTTCTTCTTCTTTTCAGTATAAGACATCTCCCAAGATCAGTGCACAGTTTGAAATGGTTTTATACATCTAACTGAATTCTATTTACTCTCTCTCTCTCTCCTCAGGCCAAGGCATTCATTTTCTAATCGGTCAAGTACTACCATAAAGCAGGTGCCCTAACACCCTGGGTACCATATACCACTGACTGCAAATAGCAGAGGCCTGCTGGTATAAAACCATTAGTGCCTTGTTATGACTGAAACTCAGGGTGGGGGCTACAGCAGCTTGCATCACCACAGGGTGCCATGGTGTGATCACCTGTCTCACTTGTGAAACTTAATAATTTCTCAATTTAACTTTCCCCCCTCAAGAACAATTTTATCTCCCTCACTGATACAGAAATATAATTAATTTTCTGAATTAGATCACCCTGAATTTCACAACAAACCTCTGCCATCAGTATGCCTCTGTGGAATTCAGTAATAAAAAGTTTTTCCAGCAATCTCTGAAACTCGAGGTACAGGAGATCACCACACAACAGAATTCATGTACACCTTCATCAAGCTTGACATTGCTTCCTACCTCTTTTGAACAGTCCTAGGATACACAGCCTCATTTAAAATTTTCTATTATTTTTGCAAAAGACATCAAACTTTACCATTATAAATATCCAAAAACATACAGTAAAACCAACTGGTCAATATTCTGCTACTTGCCGACTTCAAGAAATGTTTCTCATTCATCCCTCGCAGACTGATAAAAGATCTGGGGGCCTAACTGTGACATTAGGGACAAAATGGACATGGGTGCCCACAAGGAAACTACTGACCAGACTGACCATGCTGACCAATGGGAATTGACTGGACATTACATTGGTATGTGGCTGGAGTGAGCACTTGACC